CCGCCTCCCCGCCACCGCCTCCCCGCCGCCGCCGCCGCTATGGCCGCGCCCGCCCCGGGCCTCATCTCTGTCTTCTCGAGCCCGCAGGAGCTGGGCGCGTCGCTGGCGCAGCTGGTGGTGCAGAGGGCCGCGTGCTGCCTGGAAGGGCCCCGCGCCCGGTTCGCGCTCGGGCTGTCGGGCGGCAGCCTCGTGTCGATGCTGGCCCGCGACCTGCCCGCCGCCGCCGCCGCCGTCGGACCCGCCAGCCTCGCGCGCTGGACGCTGGGCTTCTGCGACGAGCGCCTGGTGCCCTTCGAGCACGCCGAGAGCACGTACGGCCTCTACCGGGTGAGCGCTACGGGGGCCGGCGCGGGTCAGCGAGGGCCACGCCCCCGCCTGGAGCTGTGCCCCGCCCGGGGTCCAAGCTCCCCGCCCGCCTGCTGGGCGGCCCCTTTTACGCCAAAACCGGAGGCCAGGCGGAGGGAACAGCTTGACCGAGGTCCTGAAGTCACACCAAGCCCCTCGGGCGCCACGGCCCCCAGTCTCCTGTCCCGGTTCTCCATCGCCCTGAGCACCCGCTGCGCATTATCCGGTGGTTCCCACAGTAGCACAAAAGGTTCTCATTCATGGCCACCTGACACCCATTTCACAGATGGGAAAACTGAGGGACGGGCTCTTCTGTCAGGTTCGCGAGCGACCGTAGGAAAGCCGCGTTTTGAGGCTTCCTGGAAACTCCAGAGACAGCACCTACCACACGGAGCATCCAGGGTTCCACTGACTTTTCCCTGGGAGGTTGAGGCAGGAGGGTTCCAAGCTAGATTCTGTCGCAGAATAAAACCATAAAGGGCTGGGGATGGAGCTCAGGGTGTTCGCCCAGCGTTCAATCTCCAGTGCTGCAAGGGGTTCTGGGAAGGAAGGAGAGAGGAGGAAAGGAAGTGGGGTGAGGTCCGGGGTGGAGCCCCATGGCCAGTGCTTGTTGGGCCCCCTCGAGGCCTTGGCCTCCCTGGGTGTGGAGAAACAAAAGAACCCTGGGCTTTTGTTTCTTTCTTTTCATAACTTTCTTAAAACCTGATTTAAAAAAATTTTTTTAAAAATGTTTTTGTCTTTTTGAGCCAGTGTTTCTCTCTGCAGTTCAGGCTGGCCTCCAGTTCACTTTGTAGCCCAGGCTGGTCTTGAACATGCAGTGATCCTCCTGCCTCAGCCTCCTCAGTGCTGGGGTTATAGGCATGTGCCACCACGCCCAGCTCATCTCTAAATTAGGAGATGAGTCTCCGGGAAACTGCTGGCTGCTCAGTGGGTGTCTGCTGCGCTGCTAATCTCTGTCAGTAAGGTCCTCATGGGCTGCATGAGTAGGAAACTCGGCCTCCTCATGTGGTGCCGCGGGCCCTCATGGCCAGGTTGGGGCTTGTGTTTCCCTCTCCTCCAGAAGGGCCCTGTGGCACCCAGGAGCCCCGCCTAGCCCCGTGGGTGCCAGTAGTGGCCCTCCCTGAACCTCCTCTGCCCTAGGCGGCACTGCCTGAGCTCAGCAGCCCGGTCCCTGGCATCCAGGCCTTGAGTGGCTTTTCTGTGCCTCAGTTTCTCCTTCTGTAAGTGGCCATCTCCCAACTCGGGGTGCCACCCTCTCTCTGCTGCAGACACACCTGCTGTCCAGACTGCCGGTCCCTGACAGCCAGGTCATCACCATCGACCCCCAGCTGCCCGTGGAGGCGGCGGCAGAGGACTATGCCAGGAAGCTGCGGCAGGTGGGTCTCCAGGAGCGGCTGCGTGGGAGGCCTAGTCCCCAGAGGGGTCACATCGAGCAGTGGGTGGCCCATGTGATGTCACCAGCAGGAACTGTCCCCGCTTTGGCAGAGATGCCCCTTTGCTTGGCCTGTCCAGTTCCTCACTGCTTGGGGACTCTTTGGTCCCTGCCCCTGTTGCCCTCAGCTCGTGGCACCTCGGAAAGTGGCATGTGAGGATGGAGTGGCCATAATCACGGGCGGGCCAGGCTGAGTATCCTGTACAGCTCTGACTGGCCTTGGCATCTGGGGCATCAGCCCCAGGACCCCTCGGCTTCCAAAATCCCCAGGTGTACCTGTTATCCCAGCTCTCAGTTGGCTGAGACAGGATGATCCCAAGGTCAAGACCACCTTGGGCAACTTAGGGCCTTAGTCAGACCCTGTCTCACAAAATAAAAGAAGGGGTGGGGGTAGCGCTGAGCACAGAGGCCCTGGGCTTGCCTCCCTGGGCTGCACCCCAGGTTCCCGGTGCTCCACCCCTGCTGTTTGGCAGTGACCCTGGCCTCTGAGCTGTGCTGTCCCTTCCAGGCCTTCCAGGGAGACGCCATCCCTGTGTTCGACCTGCTGCTCCTGGGTGTGGGTCCCGATGGCCACACCTGCTCACTCTTCCCAGACCACCCGCTGCTGCAGGTGAGGCCCTGTCACCCAGGCTGGCACCTGGCCTGGCACAAGAGAGACAGAGACAGAGAGACAGAGACAGAGATAGAGAGAGAGAAAGAGAGAGAGAGAGAGAGAGAGAGAGAGAGAGAGAGAGAGAGACCGAGACAGAAAGAGACAGAAAGAGACAGAAAGAGTCAGTGACAGAGAGGGACAGAGATAGAGACAGACAGAGATAGACTGAGAGAGAGACAGAGAGAGACTGAAACCCTGACCATAAAGAGGCATAGGACCGAGTGCAGGCTGAGCCAGACCTGGTGTGCAGTGCTTGTGCTCAAATGAGAAGTGGCTGGCATGGTAGGACTGCCTGTTAGGGAGGCTGAGGCAGGAGGGTTGCAAGTTCCAGCCCAGCCTAGCAACTTGGTGCCTAGCAAGACTCTGTCTCAAAATTTAAAAAATGGTTGGGGTCTTGTGCAGTATGGAGGTCCTGTGTTGACTCCTTAGTACCAGAAGCAGGAGCAATGGCTTCTGTTCCCCTGACTTCCCAGGAGCGAGACAGGATCGTGGCCCCCATCAGTGACTCCCCGAAGCCTCCCCCACAGCGGGTGACCCTGACGCTGCCTGTGCTGAATGCAGCCAGGACTGTGGTGTTTGTGGCGACTGGGGAAGGCAAGGCAGCAGTGCTGAAGGTAAGGGTGGCCCCTGGTGGGCCCTGCGGGAGGGTGCCCCCAAATGCAGCTCAGGAGTTCTTGGGTGAGAGGGCTTACCTGGCCAGTCTGGAGTCCGGGAAGAGCGCTGTGAAGTAACTGACCGGGTGAGGCTGGCGAGTGCACAGGAGAAGCTCATAGCATTACAAGGCAGTTTTAAAATCATTAAACAGGCCCGGGATATAGTTCAGCAGACTAAACACCTTCTTGGCAAGTGCAGGGTCCTGAGTTCAATCCCAGTACTGAAAAAAAAAATTCATTAAAGAGGCCTGGGGGAGGCTAAGGCAGGAGGATCTCTCACTGTGAGTTGAAGTCCAGGCTGGGCTACATAGTGGGACCCTGTCTCAAAATCCCAAAGGGGAATAAAAAAGAAATCAGGTCTCCCTGGGGCCCCGGAGTTCCAAGGCACCGCCCCTGTCCCCACAGCGCATCCTGGAGGACAGGGACACGGCACCGCTGCCCGCCGCCCTGGTGCGGCCACACACGGGATCGCTGTGCTGGCTGCTGGACGAGGCTGCTGCGTGCCTTCTGTCCGTGCCCTTTGAGAAGCATTCGACGCTGTAGCCATGGAGATCACCGGGACAGGAGAGACGAACTGGGCGGGGTCTCTTCTCTGACACCCTGCTTTCAAAGAAGCCAGTGTCATTCACCCTGGCTGGGTCAGGACCACAGGAGATTAAAGAGCGATGCTGGAAACCTGGAGTCCTTGTCCTCAATGGCACCTGTCGCGGTGGAGGGCAGCGCCTCACACAGGCCAGGCACTGAGAGTCAATCACTGCGGCACAGCACCCCAGACTGCTGGGCGTGGGGGTGGGGGTACACACTCATCCTTGCTCTTGGGAGGCTGAGGCAGGAAGATCCCAGGTTGGAGCCCCACCTGGATAGTTTAGACCCTACTTCGAAATAAGTTTTTAAGGAGCCCTTGCCTGGCAGGCAGGAAACTCGGCTTCCATCTCCAGTGCTGGACATACCGCACAACCCAAGGCAGCAGTCATTGGATCCTTTTGTGCTGCCCTCACTGAGCCTGGACCCCCAGACCCCAGGAAACGGGGGGATGGGTGCAGACCCTGCGCTGCACAACCAGCTACCTGGACATGTCGGACCCTCCTGCTGTCCCAGGTTCCTGGCTCTGAGTGGCAGGGGACCCTAGAGGGCCCTGGGCTTGGTGCAGTCTGGTATTTGGTGAACTTGGCTATGGGGTCCCTGAGGCCCAGGCCCTGGAGCCTGGAGTGGAATTGAAACTACCACGTGCAGCAAACTGTGGGAGCAACAGGCAGAAACCACAGAGAGTGAAGTTTCCTTCACGGGTCGGTCCCGTGGGTGTGAAGTGGGGACCTGAGACAGTGCAGCAGGCAGGTGGCTGGAGCCCTGGGCTGTGGGTGGGGGCTGGGAAGTACTGAGTGGGGGCACATGCACAGAGAGGCTGCCTAGAGCTGGTAGCACAGAGCCACCAACCCTTTAGGGAGCTGGGCTTGGTGGTACATCCCTGAAATCCCAGCACTTGGGAGGCTGAGGCAGGAGAATCCCTTCAAGTTCCGGACCAGCCTGGGCTACAAAGTGAGTTCAAGGCCAGCGTGAGAGGCATAGCAAGACCCTGTCTCAAACAACACAACACAACACAACACAACAGCTTTGAGGACTGTAGCTCTTGTTACTGTGTTGCTGTGCCGTGTGTGTCTGTTGGGGAGGGCTCTGCTCGTGGTCCAGAATGGCTGCATGTGCTCCAGCCCTTGTGCTCACATTCTAGCCACCGAAAGAGGAAGGGAAAGGAGAGTCTCTTAGGGAGATACCCTACGGCAGTGCCAGAGCCCTCCCCCGCAGCATCCTGTCCAGACCATGGAGCCTCGCCCAAGGAATGGCAAGGGGTGCTGTGAGGCAGGCCCCCATCAGGGAAGGGATCTGAGGAGGGGTGGACAGCGGGTGCCTCCAGAAAGCGGCCAGGTTCCTCCCACCTGTGCTCCCTGCCTGGCACCTGGCTAGAAAGCCCACACAGCCTCGAGTGGCCACGTTTCTGCATTCATTCAATCACTTGGTGTCCCTACTTGGGTGTCCACCAAATGAGGAAGGAGGGAGCCTAGCTGCTCCGAAGTGCTGGACTCTGGAGGCTGCTGGGCCTCAGGGCTCCCTGTGCCTGAGGTTTCCAGGCTGAGAGGAGAAGGAGAAGGCAGCCAGCCCTGGACAAGAGGTTTATTTTGGAAGACCCTGTGGGAAGGAACTTGGCCCTCAGCCTTTCTACATGAGGCAGGGTGTTCCTACATTGTATAGGCTGGTTGCGATCCTACTGTCTCAACCTCCCAGTGTATTAGGAGCCCTTTTGAAAATGAAAGCTGAGCCAGGCATGGTGGCACCTGCCTGTTGTCCCCTGTGGAGAGGCTGAAGGAGGATCTCAAGTTGAGTTCCCAGCCTGGGCAACTTAGCTGAGCAAGACCCTGTCTGAAAAATTGAAGAACAGAGGGTTAGGGGTACAGCTCAGTGCAAAGCGCCTTGGTTCAGTCCCTAGGACAGAAAAAAAGAATCAGAAAAGGGATTTGTTTGTCAGAGCCTGGTGGCAGCAGGTGTTGCCTGCACACACAAGGGCATGTGTGTGTGTGCTCGCGCGTGCCCGGGCCGAGCCCCCCCCCAGCCCCCCCCCAGCAGCTCGGCTGCAAGCCCAGGCACTGGCGCGCTCAGAGCTGAAGCCTGAGCTACAGGACCCAGCAGGATGGGGGCGCAGGCTTCAAGCCCTTTGGACAGGCGGCAACGCGAGCATCTGCGGGGTGAGCTGGACGGGAAGGTGTGCCTGGGGCTGAACTCTCGACCTGCCTTCTCCAGCCTGCTGGAGTCCTGGGATCACAGCCCCAGGCAGCCTGCCTGGCTGGGCCGGATGCGGGAATAGCCCGCAGGGGGCGCGCAGGGGTAGGCTGGGTCGCCTGGAGTCGCGGGCCCTGCGAGCCGCCACGCCACCGTCCCGTCCCGGTCCTCAGGCCGAGTGGCCTCGCTGCTGGACGCCTTCCTGCCCTGTTACCGCGCGCAGCTGGCAGTGTCCGTGCTGCGGCGGATCTCGCTGGAGCTGCGCCCCCAGGAGCCCTCGGGACCCCAGCTGAGCCGCAGCAAGGTGGGTGCTCGTCGGAAGTGCTTCCTTCCTCATGCTCAGCGACTGAAATAGCGATTCTTAGACCACCATTTCCCAGGGTCCACCTGCTGCCGCCTCTGGGCGCCCAGTCGGCTGAAGTTTTGCAGTCAGCAGGGACCCAGGGTCCTAATTTTTTTTTTTTTTTTTTGCGGAACGGAGATTGAACTCTGGCCCTTGTGCTTGCTATGCAAGCGCTTATTCTATTGAGCTATCTCCCCGGCCCCTAGACAACCTAAGGGTGCTCACACAAAGCCGCCCAGATCCCCAGGCCACCTGAGCTGCACCCCCAGCTTCCGCGCAGAACTGTGAGACCGGGCCTCCCTGAGCCTCTGAGGTGCCCACGCTGGCCTCCAACTGCCACCCTCCTGCTCAGTCTCCTGAGTGGCTGGGATGACAGGTGCACATAACTGCGCCCTGCTTCAAGTTTGCTTGGATTGGCTAGGGGTGGGATGCTTGGATTCAGAGCCATGGATACGAAGGCGCTGCCATGTATCCTTTGAGTAATATTTTAACAACATTACCATGAAAAGTCTCCACAGAGGCTGTGGAGAACCAGCCAGCCAGCCCTGCAGTAGCCACCAATGTGCTCAGATCTGAGCGGCCCCTGTGCAGGGGACTGATCCGTGGGTGCACACCGGGTGGGGCCCTGTGGTGACCTGGGAGTGGGAGGTGGGGAGACTGCTCTCCACCATCCATGTGGGCCCACTCACTGGCCTGGGTTGGTTGCTCCTGTGCCAATGCCAGGGCAGCCAAGCCCCAAATGGTGCTCGCCTGGGCTATGGCGCTGTGGCTGAGCATGCCCATCATCCCAGTACTCGGGAGGCTGAAGCAGGAGGATCTCGGATTTGAGGCCAGCCTGCGCAAAATACAAGCTGCCGGTAACAAGATAATACCTTATCTCAAAATACAAGCGGCTGGTGTTGAGTGCTGACCTGGTGCAGAGGGGAGTTAGGGAAGAAGGAGGAGCAGGAGGAAGGCAAGCCCTGATGCCCGCCTGCCCTGTGCAGAAGCTGCCCCGAGTGCGTGAGCACCGTGGCCCCCTCGCCCAGCTGTGGGGCCACCCTCCACGGTGGCAGCCGGTGTTCTGTGTGCTGCGTGGGGACGGCCGGTTGGAGTGGTTCAGCCGCCAGGAGGTGAGGCACCCCCCCACCCCTCTGTCTCTCCTCTGTTGGGGATGGCAGGAAACTGAGGCCCATCTATGGTATGGCGCTGGCCCTACTCATGTGAGTTTACACCCTTGTTCCCAGCTAAGGAACTTAGAGTTCACATGCCACCCCAGGACTCAGTTTCTCTGGCTGTGAAAAGGGTGGATGGAGGCTGTGGGCTTGACTATGGGGCAGGTGGTGAGGGCAAGGGGGCACATCTGTCACCCTAGCACTCTGGGAGGCTGAAACAGGAGGATCTCTGCTTCAAGCCCAGCCTTGGAACTAAGTGAGCCTGTTTGAAAATCTCGGAAAGCGCCAGGGTTGCAACCTGGAGGCCTGGGTACCCTCCTACTGCAAAAGAAGAGGGAGGAGGGTGGGGCCCCAATGGGAAACAGGCACCCTGCCCCACTGGGTCACCCTCAGTCCTATGCTGCTCTCATAGGACTTTTTTTTTTTTTTTTTTTTTGTGGAATCGGGGATTGAACTCAGACCCTTGTGCTTGCCAGGGAAGCGCTTATTCCACTGAGTCATCTCCCCGGCCCCTCTCATAGGACTTTGAGTCCGGGCAGCGTCCCCTGGGTGCAGTGGCCCTCACGGGCTACAGGCTACTGACCTCGCAGCGCGACTATCTGCATCTCCTCGAAGTGCTCGGCCCAGGCCCCGAGGGTGAGGCTCCTGGGCCCTGCGTTTGCCAGGGTCCTCCCAAGCCTGGCGCCACCTTCCTGCCCAGCTGCTCCCAGTGGACACCCACCCAGCTCTCAAGGTCCCTGAGGGTTTGTGGTAGGCTTGCTATGGGTGGGCCTCCTCCTCTACCACAGGTAAAACCCCACTGTGGAAAGGGTAAGAAAGGGCAGGTCCTGCCGGGTGAGATGGTATGTGCCTGTGAGCCCAGCACTCGGGAGGTAGAGGCAAAAGGGTCAGGCCAGCCTGGGCTATATCCAGAGATGTTCTCAAAAAAGCCAAGCAAATGGTGGGGTGGGGGGAGAAAGCAATCCACCCTACACAGGTTTTATTTCTCAAAGGTTTTACGTGAATGGATTTTCAGAGCCAGGTGGAAGCCAGGGCCTCCCTGGGCCTGGATCCTGCCCCCACCCCTCCCCGTGGGCTCTAATGCTCGGATCATATTCTGAGCTGTAGGTCTCATCTGTGGGCTTGAGGGCCAGGGACTCCCACCTTCTCCATTCTTGGATTTTATAACAACCTGAATGTGTCACTGTGGAAATTAGAGCAAAACACTCAGGATTTGAGAGAATCTGAAATAAAAATTTGCTCATTTTGTTTTTCTTCCTTTTTTTTTTTTTTTTTTTTTTTTTTTTTTT